CACAAAGTCCCCTTTGGAAGGGTTTTAGGCAATAGGCTGTGGGCCTCTTTGGGGACAGGGGAGTGGGTGGTGGGCTGCTTTTAACTACCACAACCTCCAGTGATCTACGGGACCCTGTAGGGTCTGCAGCACCCCCTTCCCGTGCCTCCCTGGCCCATCATTCAGTACTCTCCTTATTCCTGACTGTGTCTAGTATTGGGGCCTTTGCTCTAGCTGTTTCTTTAGCCCAGAAAACTCTTGAGCCAGGCCACCATATGACCTGCTCTCCCACCTGCCTCAGCTCCTTGCTTAAATATCCCCTTCTCCACGAAGCCTACCTGAACCACTCTGTGCCTCTGACCTACCTAATGCACCTGACCCAGCTGCCTTTTCTCAGCAATTCTCACTTCCTAACCTACTAAATAATTCACTATTGTTCTCATTTGTACCCCACACACACACGCGCGCACACGCACACTGAAATGTCAGACCAGGGCTGGAGTATCTGCCTGTTCTGTTCCAGTCTTTCCTAGGTGCTTCCTCCGTGCCTGGGCCTGGCACAGAGTCAGGAAATGGGCAAGTAGAAGAACAATGTGCTAAAGCCAGCCCCTGGCTGGACCTCAGACAGCAGGGGAAGGCCAGTAACGATGCAGGCCCCATCACCAGGCCACCCACGAGGTGGGCAGGTGTGCACCATGATGGTCACATGACTGAGCGTTCATCACCTGCCAGGTGCTATGGAAGCTCTTTGCATACAAGAACATCCTCACAGACACCCTTGGAGATAAATGCTGTTATCACCGCCCCCCCACCCACACACATTATAGATACAGAAATTGGAATAGAAATTAAATAGCCAGGAAGGGAACGCCAGCCCCAGAGCCTGCACCCTCGCCACTGCTGGGTGAAGTCACGAGACCCTGCAGCTCTTCCTCGTGCCTTATTCCTCCGAGACACTTCCCTGTAATCGCTGCATGCCAGGAACCAGGGCCGTTTCCCTGGTGACAAAGACCTGCCTCTAAGGCAAAGATGGGCTTTAAAGCAGAGATATGAAGGGAGGTGTGTGTGCGTGTAAGTATGTGTGCATGTGTGTGCTTATACAATCAGCTGCCAAGGTCAAGCTTGGGATTTGCAAACTGTAAGCACCACAAGCCCATTGAGCTGACAACTGCCCCTGCTGTTTCTTTGACTCAACACGGAGCCCTTGAGAGCCCTCAGTCTCTGCCCACCTCCACCCCCTCAATTGGCCTGGGGCGCCTTGCTACTCACCCACATCTCCTCCTCCTCACCAGTTTTCCCAGCTAGAAGAAAAAAAAAAAAAAAAAGGCTCTAAACTATTTGCATACTTGAGTAAGTTGAGGGGAGCAGCTAAGGAAGAAGAAGATCTGGGAGAATAGATTGGGAGACAGCAGAGCGAGACTCTGGCCAGCTCTGCCACACTGGAAGGGGTGAGTGTGCTCTGGCGGGATCACCTGAATCATTTCTGACATAAAGAATGACTCAGAAGGCTGGCTAGAGCCTAGACCTAATCAACTCTGTTCCATAGACAAGCAGGCTAGCAAGTCAAATCGCCCCGGTTGTAAGCAGTAGGTGGCCTTTTCTGAATCCTCTGCACCCACCCTTTCTCCTGCAGCAGCCCCGCCAGGCACTGAGCCAGGGAAGTGGGAGGGAGCTCATTCCTTAGTCAGATGTTCTAGGACAGGCACTGTGTTAGGCTCCGAGGGATTATTTCATTTCATCCTCAAGGCAACCCTGATTGAACAGATAAGCATTCTCATCTTCACTTTACAGATAAGCTGGACCAGGAGAGGCTGAGCAATGAGAGGGTGGCAGGCAAGATTTGAACCTGGTGCTAGCTGGGTCCTAGTGGCTGTGTTTGCCACTCTTTACACCAGCAGGGGTCTGAATTACAGCCATGCTAGCCTGGGTGTGTTTAGGCTGTGCCATCTAGGTTTGTGTGAGTATACGCTGACATTTGTTCAGTGAAATCAGTAAATGACTCATTTCTCAGAAGTATCCGTGTTAAGCAATGCTTGATTATACTGCCACAGTTACCTGTGGTTTCTTTTAACAGTTTCTCCATCTAAAAGATGATGTTGTCAGTTTGTAAATATTTTTGAAAGTGTCTCGGACAAAAATCATGGTCAGTGGATCAATAGGATTGTTCAGAGAAATAGAATCAATGGCTGGCTGGATGGGTAGACAGTGAAATGGGTCAGTGGATGGACAAGAAGGAGGGAGGGATGGATGGATGGATGGATGGATGGATGGATGGATGGATGGATGGATGGATGGATGGATGGATGGATGGATGGAAGGAATAGACAGATGATAGATAGGCAGGTAGATTGATTGATAGATAGATGGATATTTTAAGGAATTATGGGGATGGCACTTCTGAAATCCACAGTACATGTGAGCCAACCAGAAACCCAGCCAGGATTTCTTGTTACAGTCCTGAGGCAGAGTTCCTTCTTACTCAGAAAGCTTAGTTTTTGTTCTTAAGGCGTCAACTAATTGAATGAGGCGCACCCAAGTGAAGGGTAAGGGCCTTTACTTAGAGTTAACTGACAGTAAATATTGATCAATCCACAGACTCACAACAACATCTAGATGAATGTTTGATGCCATCCCCCACCCCTTTGGCCCATAAAATTAACTATCACCATCAGCATCCGCCAGGTACTCTGCAGCCACCAGGCATTGCACCAAGTATACTCCCCATGTGCTTTTGCTTTTCCTCATCAGAATCCTCAGTTTTTATTTAGTGATCTATGAGAGATGAATGAAGTCCCCCAGCATCACCCCACCACCAAGCCTGGCCCAGAACTCAGGCCTGGAGGCAACCAGGACAGCCTTCTCACCTCACCACATCGCCTCTCTATTCCCAGACCACTCTGTGCTTGAAGCAGAACTCACTTTCCAGATTAATGGTAGCAGCGAATCCTGCAGTCCTCAGTGGTCAGCAGGCCCGAGCCGAGGTAGGGTTCCCAGCAGCACACGGGCAGAAGGCCCCAGGCCTCTCAATGCCTGATGTGCCCAGAGCCGGGACCCTGAAACCACGTTATTGCTGAAACAACCTCGTAACAAGCCCTGGTCAGGACATCAATATCGAAACCTCCTTGAACATTCCGAAATGGACCTATCTAGTGTCAATCCATCTTCCTGGCAGTTGTGTTTCAGTGAGATTAAAGGTAATCTGCAGAGAGCACTTGGGAATCCGATCACCTCTGCACAAAGGGAAATAAAGCTTCCTAGGACTGCATTTTTTTGGACATGCTGCTCACTGGGCCTACTTACACTCTAGACTTTGCAATATCTTGGTTAAGGTTATTTGATTGCAAGAAACAGAAGCCAATGCTAGACAGCTTAATTAAGATAAAAAAAATTGAAGAAAAGCCAAACAAAAATCAGTGGATCGTATGCCTTATGGAATCAGAGCAGGAACTGGAAACCGATACTTGAGACTGTAATTAACTAGGGCAGCTCTGGGCCCCTTCACAGCAAACGTTTAGAAGCCTCTAGGATGCTTCCTGACATGGGTCCAAGCCTGCCAGTGGCTTCCAGTCTCTGCATCTCTGTTTAAATTTCCAAGAATGAGAAACTGATTTGCTCAGCTTGAGTCCAGGGTCCATCCCTGGGCACCCATCCCTGGCCAGGGCTTCAAGGGCAGCGTCACCTCCTGGATGCCATGTGCACAGAGGCCACGAGAGAGGCCTACCTTTGAGCAGCGCATGGCTGGAAGTGGCTACCATGATAACCATGATCATCATAGTAGCTCAGGACTTCCGTGGAGACATCCAGGTCCATAGAGTTCTGCATCCCTCCCGTGTGTGTTTCCACCCCATGCAGCTCTTCGTAGTTCAGTCCTTCTGGCCTCCCGTACTCCTTCTGTAACATTCATCTCTTAAAATAATTAGTTACAAATGCAATCATGAGCCCCAATTTTAGAGCTATGCCATGGCTTTCAGCATCCTGAGACACTTTATGTAAGTACCAAGAAGGAAGAGTATTTGGTTATTTTGCTCACTCTGCATCTCCAAATGCCTAGCATGATCCCTGGCACTTAGCAGGTGCTCAGTGGCTTTGCCATCTTGGTCCAGGAGTATTTTTTAGACCCTTATGTCTGATCCCCAACACCCAGAGTCAGCAGATACAGTACTCTCCTGTCCTGGGGGAAAGCTGGTAAGCTTGGGCTCTGCCTGTGTCTAATGTATGTTCAATATTAAAGAGGATGCCTGGCCACGGGTGGGGGATCTGGGTGTTTGAAAACAGTGAAGCTATTGTTCAGAGACAACCCAGGAGAATGCAGCCAGAACAAGCAGCTCCAGCCTGCTGTCCCCACACACTCGGTGGAGGTTCTAACGCGGAGTCATCCTCTGTGACTCTCCCTGAAATAGACGTGGTAGCATGTCCAGGAGAGCGATGTTACTGCCCCGTGTTGAGCGATAGGGAGACGCCACACTTAGCCAGAATGGCAAGACTCAGACAGAGCCAGGCTTCAGATCCCCTCTGTGCTCGTGACCCTCTCTTACAAGCCTCGTGACCCACTCTGCAACTTTCTCTGGTTCTAAGAGATGCTCACAAAGCAGGAAAGGGTCGACAAATCCAGAAGGGCAGGAAGTGGGACTCAGAGGAGCAGAGCAGAAGGCCAGGCTCCCAGGCAGGCATGCAGGACGGAGAACTTTCTGCAGTAAGAGGGACACCCACACTGTCATTGGGGGGCAGGTCTGATGAGCCCAAAGGCTCTGGGTCTGGGGGGTCACATAAGTGGTTTTGAGTTTCTGCTGGGTAACTGCCCTTCTCCATGCCCCCCACCCAGCATTCTGCACCAGTCGTCCCTTCTTCCAGCTTGGGACTCAAGGTAGGCGTGTCTGCAAGACTTCAGGTGCATCATTTGCATGAAAGTGTCCAGGCGCTGCTGAAAATGAACCTCAAAGAAACAAGTCGTTTTTTTTTCCTTTTGTGCTCTAGTTCGAGAGCAATTTAACCTTTTGACCTCAGCTCCTCTCTCTTTTCAGGAAGTCTGTCATCCAACTCGACCTCGCCAACACCAAGAAAGCGATGATCGTGCCTGCCTTCGAGACGCTGCGGTACCGCCTCTCGTTCCCCAAGTCGAAAGCGGAGCTGCTGTCTATGCTGGACATGGGGACGCTCTTCACCTTCAGGTGCATAGCCCCCACTGCCATGCCCCGGGGTGCCCCAAGGTCTCCCTCTCCCAGGAACCCCCACATTGAGCTGTGGCCCAGACTTTGCTGCTGCCCTTCAACCATCTCAAGGCCAAAAAAAAAGCACCCCTGGCCCCAGATACTGCATTTTGAGTCCTCCCTCTCTTCCCCACACCATGTACCTCATTTGCACATGGGTGACAGACGTGATGGGAGGGCAGGAGTCCTGGGTTGGGAATCCCACTTCTTTCTCTGTGTGCCGCCCTCAGGGTGGCCAGGTTCCTGATCCACCCCTGCCTGCGTTCTCCCCGTTTGCTTGTTCATTCTTTGGGTAGGTGGGTTTCACCCTCTTAGCGTGTGGTCGTGATTTTCCTTTTCCCCTTCCTGGAAGTGGTCTGTTCTCCGAGGTCCTCAGACCTAGGGTGGGAAACAGTGGCATCAATGACTGAAGCTGTCAAGGTGACTCCGAGGTTGGACACAGCAAGTGTGGCTGTGAACCGACCTGTCGCCCACATGACAGTTGTGAACAAACCCCCTCACTTTTCTGACCTCCCAGATCCCAAAGTCCTGCAGGAAGATCACAGAGAAAGCCCTTTCCACCCTCCAGTGTGCCCAGAGGGTGTATCGGCACAAATGTAAAGGGGATCCATCTCCCGAGGATGGGCTGGGGTACCGAGTGCAGTGCCTCCTGGACTTGGAGTGCTGCGAGTCTCTGGACAGCGGGGTTGAAGAGAGAGTCCTCACTTCCTCTGCTCCTATTTAAGAGGCTTTCACTTTGTACTATGTAAGAACCACCAGCACTTCTTCAAGTTAAAAAATGTCTATTTCTAGGCAATCTGAATTGTACTGAAAAGATTATAATAATGTCTTGAGTTTCTGTACCTCTGTTATGTTACTAGAAGTTTCTAGAAGGTTTGCCAGACAAGTTTTATTTATTGGAATTAACTTTGTGAGCTAAGTTATTTATTCAACAATCAAGAGATGATCTTAATTCATATTTTATACACATAAGGACACTGAGGAGTGAAGAGGTCCTATTGGAGCCAGAACCCAAATTCCAGAATTCTGGAAAGTGGGCAAAGAGAGTAAATATCCCACAAGCCAAGCCTTCTTTCTTTTCAGAAAGAAATAATAATTACTATTTGTTGAGAACTTAACATGTGCCAGCACAGTGATCCGCTCACATGATGCTCACAACAAATCTAGTGGGTAGGTACTGTTATTGCCATTTTATAGACAAAGACACCAAGGCTCTGAGAGGCTAAGTAACTTGCCCCAAGGACACCCAGCCAGAGCACAGCAGGGCCTGGATTCCACCCAAGTCTGAGAAGCTGCAGAGCCTACTTTCTTAACCAAAATACCATCAGACTGCTAATCAAGTTCTGAATTCCTTGCCAATCTGTGTTTGGTAAAACACTGTTAAAATGGCTAAATCATTGAGACGTTGAGACTCTGATACCAAACCTTAGCCCGAGTCTCCCACTGATGCCAGAGGCTGATAGTTGAACCCTTGGCGAATTTCCAAGGCTTCCTTCCTTCTCCACCCCGAGGTGATTTGAGAACTAATTTCAAGGCCAGGTCTGTGGGCATGAGAACTGGGGTTTAGCCTTCTGTGTCCATGATGGCTGCTCTGGCCCTCAGCTTGCAGGCCACCATGTCAAATGCTCAGTTACACACCCTCCCTCCAAGAAATTGCTTTTGTCATCTTCTGTCCAAACCTGAGCTCTTCGGCCTCCTAGCAGCTGAGAGCACTCTCCCTGCACTGGGGTGAGGGGTGCCCACACCCCTCAAGGCCTCTGGGGCAGCGCTTCTCAGAGTGTGTTCCTTCACCACAGCCTCAGTGTCTCCTGTGGACTTGTCAGAAATGCAGAGTCTCAAGTTGAACCCCAGACCTACAGATCAGAAACTCGGAGGGAGGAGAGGACCCAGTAATCTGTACAAAAATAGCCTTCAGTTAGTCTGAAACACACTCAGGTTTGAGACGCGCAGCTCAAAGCAAAGTGCCCCCCACTCCCTTCTCACAGCATCCTGCAAGGTGTCCCCAGAGACTTGTCATCACTCGTGTTTATGGGAAGTTGCCTCACATGTGTGGTCCCAGAGACCAAGCCCAGTCCAGTGTCTGCTGCAGGGGTGGCAGGTCCTCGGCTCATCTCAGGCTGTTCTAATGGCGAGTTGAGTGTAGCTTCACTCCGTTCTTCACTAACCAACCATTCAGTGAGGCGTCAGTCTTCTGGGCAGAGTTAATGGAAGCTGCCTCCCGCCCAGGTGTCCCTGTCCAGGTGTCCCTACCCAGGCGTCCCCGCCCAGGTGCCCTGCTCTTCCTCCACCCCATGTCCTGATTCTCACATTATAACAGGCTAAGAGTTTAGAGTCTAAAGATGGAGGAGAAATAAGTTGGCCATGGACACTCTGATATTGCTGAGAAGATGACCCCTATGAATTAACATCCTATCTTGGAACAAATAGCATTATTCAAGGGCAGAACCATGGACGGTCATGTGAGACCTCTCCTGCAGCCCACAGTGGTGTCTGGGAGGAATAACCAGTGCAGACTGATGCAGTTAGCTCATTATAAATGCTGCAGAGCACTCCCGGGCTTCACTCACCCTGTCGTGTACCCCTCCTTGTTAGTGAAGGATTCAGGTAACAGGCCATATTCAGGTCCTTGGGCCACCATAGCAAAATACCACAAAGAGATTTATTTTCTCACAGTTCTAGAAGCCAGAAGTCTGATACCAGGTGTAGGTAGGTCCATGCTTCCTCCAAGGCTCTAGGGGAAGGTTCCTTCCTTGCCTCTCTCTAGCTGCTGGTGGTTACTGGCAATCCCTAACTTTCCTTGGCTCCTGTATCAACCCCTCCAGTCTCTGCCTCTGTCTTCACATGGCCTCTTCCCTGTGTGTGTCTGTAACCAAACCTCCCTCAGCATTGCGGCAGCACCCACCCTCGTACACTCTCACCTCATCTGATGACATCTGCAAAGACCCTATGTCCAAGTAGGTCACAGTCATAGGCAGGGAGGTTATGGCTTGACTATATCTTTTGGGGGAACACAGATCAACCCACATGTCAGCATCTACCTCTTCCTCCAAACCAGCAGCCTTGGGCGAGCTCAGCTTCTTACCCTGCACCCACTGGCTTGTCTCCATGTGTCCCAGGTACCACGTCTGGATGAAAGGACACGCACCCACAAATTTCGCCAAGTGGCGGACCGCCACCACGCCTTACCGGGTTGAATGGGAGGCCGACTTCGAGCCGTATGTTGTCGTGAGACGGGACTGCCCTGAATATGACCGGAGGTTTGTGGGCTTTGGTTGGAACAAGGTGGCTCACATCATGGAACTGGATGCACAGGTGAGAGGGGTGTCATAGTGGGCCCGGTGCTGTGCAGGGGAGGGGAGGGTGGTGAAGCCTTGATCTCACATCTGCAAGGGACCTTGGAGATAAAAAAAAAAAAAAAAAAAACCACAGACCTAAGAGGGAACATGATGTGTTCAGGGGCTGTTGATTCCCAAATCATCCCTCTTTATTCAACCCTGGGTGAGAGTTGGGTTCCCAGCCAAAACCCAAGCAACTATGATGCCTGTGAAAATCCATTTCACCCCACCCTGCATCCTCACTCATGTCAGTGATGAAGACAAGCAAATGATCCCTATTCATCCCTTGTGCTGTGAGTCATAAATTGACACAAAGCTTTTTCAGTGTCCCATAGAAATGACACAAAGCATGTGGCTAAGATGCAGCTATTTATTCTACCCTGTAACTAAAGGAGGCATGATTTTTAGACTGTACTGTATTTAATCATGAAACCTTTTCATTCGCTCTACTAATATTTACTGAACCTCTGTTTCAAGAGAAATCTGCAGAAGTCCAGTAGTAGGGTAAATCAGAGGTCAGCAAAACTTCTCTGTAAAAAACCAGATAGCAAATCTGGAGGACTTTGCATGGCTTCGGGTCTTCCTTTTGGCTGCTCAGCTCCTCCACTGTAATTCAGTCATAGGCAATACCCAAACAAATGGGTTGGCCACGTTTCAATAAAACTTTATTTATAAAAACATGCAGTGGGCCAGACCTACCAGTCTGTCAAATGCTGTGTTAAACAAAAGTAAAGCTAAGCTGTTTAAATTCAGAAAAGGATATCTGAACCCCACAGCCCACCCTTTTTTCTCTCTGCTTTCTCCAAGGCACCTCCTCATAGACCACAGTGTAAATATTTCTCAACAGCACCTGAAATTCAGTAAAAGCAATGTTGGATGCTCAGTGTTGGTTGCCAGTAAGAGTCCCCTGGGAAACATCCCAACAGCTCCAGTATGTTAGGAGCATTCCAGATGATTCTAGCAAACACACTGGGTGGAGAATGACCGATGTAGATGAAGGTTGCAGTGTCCATACTTAACAACAGAAAGTGTGACCATTAGTCTACAGACAGGGGGCCCTGTATTGCTCACACACAGAAATGTTTAGTCTGCCTTAGCTTCTACTTGAAAGGAGAGAAATGTTATAATATTCATGTGTCCAGCAGTGTGATGAGGTGAACTGGTTCAAATAAACTTAACATTTCCAGCACTGAGACCTGGATTTTATTTGTTTTAGACAATTTTGACAGAGCTCTTGAAAACTGTTGCATATTTGCCTTCCTTTGTAATAGCACATGCCAAACCTCATTTTACCCTGGTTTAAAGAAATAATGTTTAAAGTGGTTTAAAGAAATAATGAGTACACAACTGACAGGTAATCCAGCCACACCTGCAGGGGCCAGTGGAATTGGAAGGACGCTGTTCCCATGTGAAATGTCCCGTGCAGCTGAGCTCTGGGGGTTCATGCATCTTCTTTGCATGGTTCTTCTCGCTCCTTCCCCACTGTCAGCTGTCATTTCTTCCTGCTGTCAGTATTCCTCTGCTCCTAACAGCTATCTTTCCCCTCCTGGTTTCCCTTTCTGTATTTATTCTGATCTGCTCTGGCCTGGGAAATGACATGAGCTTCTCAGACATTATGTCCAAAATCAGAGTAAATCGATTCCGAGTGCAGGTGTTCTGGCTTCCGCTGTGAGCTACATGTGTGTAACTAAAGTTGTGTCATCTGTTCTGGCTACTCAGAGGCCTTTTGTTTGCAGTCTGGGTATTCTGTCTGTGTTCTGCCATGTAGAGGAGGCATCTGATGGTACACTTGTAATAAGGATGCGTTGGTGAGCGTTTTATTCCCGATGAGCTTCCATCCAGTGGAACATTTTTTCCACTTTACTCCTTTTTTGTTTATTTCCTCTTTTGTATGAATCTATGAAGGCTGTGAAATCTCACCTAGCCCTGTGAGAAATCATATAAACAGACATCAGCTAATTGAGCTGGGAATCTCCCAGGGTGGCCTCATTCTAGAGCAACCATGTGAGTGCGAACTCACATTTATCAAAAACCTTTTATGATCCAGGAGCTCATGCCTGTAACTATCCATGCATTATTGGTCATCCTTCAAAGTAGATATTATTGCTTTCACTTTACAAGTGAGAAGACAGAGACTTGAAGAAGCCAAGTAATTTGTCTAAGGTCATGGAAAAAACCTTGAACTATTCCACTCTGTTAAATGAAACTCAACAAATGTAGAGATCTAATTGAGTATATTAAATGATTCATGAATAGGGCAGCATCCAGTCTAGATCCTGCAAGAGCTCACACAGAATGCAGGGTATTTATAGACAGAAAGGAAGTGGAACAAAAGATTATTTCAGGTAAAGCCACCTGCCCTCAGAGGAAGGCACAGGATTCTTACCATGCAGATGACCTCACCAATGCCGATTGATTGGTGCAGGATTATACTTTTTTTTTTTGTTTGTTTTATTTATTTATTTATTTGTTTGTTTGTTTATTTATACATGCACTGGGTACAGTCAGAAGCGTGGGAGGGTGAGAGAATTCACCAGAGCCAGAGCGGGGAGCAGAACAGGCAGAAGGACCGAAGCACACTGCTGAGGGGAGCAGCGGGCGGCAGGAGAGGTCTGCGTGCCATGTGGGACCCTCCTCCAGTGGCCGGGGAGCAGCCGGGGATCGAACCAGCGCCGCAGAGGCGGCGGGCAGCTTCGCAACCCAGCGCTCAACCGCTGCGCCACCGGGGAGGCCCAGGATTATACTTTTGAGAGAATTTGAAACTGCAATAGGTATTAAGCCTGGGTGAGGGACAGGGCATGAAGGACTCCAATGTGATGATGTTTTTGTTGGTCTTTCCATCAATGTGGTTGCGCTGTCCACGGTGCTTCCAGTTCATTCATTCCCATTGTCATTCAGTCATCCACTTGGGCATTCGTCGGACATTACCGAGGACTCTTGCAAGCACTCACATTGCCCCTGTCTCCTTTTAGGAATATGAATTCATCGTGCTGCCCAACGCCTACATGATCCACATGCCTCATGCCCCCAGCTTTGACATCACCAAGTTCCGGTCCAACAAGCAATACCGCATCTGTCTCAAAACCCTGAAGGAAGAGTTTCAGCAGGACATGTCTCGCCGCTATGGCTTTGCTGCCCTCAAATATCTCACTGCTGAGAACAACAGCTAGCACCAAGAGGCCCACCGCTAGGGAGAGACATTCTGTAAGAAGAGAGCCACTCGCTGTATGGGGCCCTGCCTTCAAACTCAAAATGGAGCAATGCTTTTTTGGTTTGTTTTTATTTGTCTCTTTGGCCCAACAAAGCTGCTCTCAATGCAGAGTTCTGGGACAAGGATCCGGCCAACCCCTCTCTGCCCCATGACCCGGCATTCCCAGAGTGTGGAAAAATAGTCCATCTGCATAGTCTCTTCAAGGATGGGATGCAGAGGGGTGAGAGGGAGCAAGAGGGTTATATTCCCACAAAGCCACGCACAAGCGGGTCTTTAGGATGGTCTGGTTACCTTCTGTGAAAAGGAAGTCAGGGTGTTGGGGGTTAGCCATCCAAGAAATAAAAAGCAAACTTGTCTCTTCATTCAGAGGAAACTTTCTTCTTTGCCCTGCAGTCTAGCTGGGTATCAAAATGGAGGGCAACCCAATGATCAAAATCAACCATTTGAAAAAAAAAATTAGTGGGGACATTGATTGTACCTGGAGGGAACTGGAGATGGGTTTGGTTGGTTCTTTATCCTCAAGGTCACTTTTGTTTTGTTTTTCTTTGTTTTTGTTTGTGGGGATTATGTTTGTTTGTTTCTCTTGGGTCTGAGACTCCAAAATAGAAAATCTGGTCTTTTAAGATTCTGAAGGAAAATCAACTGCCTCAACCAATGTCCCTCTATCAGTCATGACCCAGCAGGAAGACAAAAGTCTGCAGCCAATGTTTAAACACGGGTGGCTTTCTTGGGGACTCTCACTGAGACCCCCACAGTTTTGAATTCACTACTCTCCAGAACCGGGGACAGAAATGAGGACGGCAGGAATATGGGGGCCGACTGTTTTACAACCAGTCACCTTTTCTATTGGCAGTGACCAATTCATGAGGAAAGGGCTCTGAAGGAACTGTTTCCATGCACACGAAAGGTACAAACCTCTCAGGCCTCTAGAAGAACTTAAATAACCCAGGCGAGCCCAGTTCTGAAGATTCACGAATCCACTTGGAGTCCTACGGGAGCATTCAGTTGGGTTCCTCTGTGTCCACACCTGCTTCACCCCTGGAAGGGATGAGGTCACGACCTTGGGCTCCCTTCAGGACCTGTCCAAGGGTAGGCAAGCACCTTCACTGTTCCACAGATTGAGGAGACACTGGACTTTTTACCCATTTTCTTGAATCTTCAATATTAATGTTGTGTTTACATTGATGAGAACCAGAATCAATGCTGGGCTGTTTGTATTGAGTTGCCATGTGACCAGCAAATGCTGCATTCAATAAACGAACATACGGACTGTTTCTTCCTGTGCCCTCCCCTTCATGTAGGAAACCGGAGACACCAGTGTAGAGGGCCAACTCGATAAACAGCAAGTTTACACCTTCTGTTCTCCTGTTTCATTTCTCTCATCATTTGAATTTTCACCTTTCTGTCTCCCCATTAGATCTCACTTTATCCTCTGACCCTCAAAGTGTATTCAAATGTTCCATCGGGTTTCTGTGTCCATGCTGAAGCCAGATGTTTTATAGACCAGATGTGGACCAGCAAGGTAAATCACGGTCACTGTTCCGGCAGTCATTTGAAAACCCACAGTAATCTGAGTTATGAGACCCCGCAGTATGCTGTGTGCTCAAATGGATCTGCCAGATCTAGTCACTCAGATGGATTTCACAACCAGGAGAGCTTATACTCGGACTTATCCTCACTCAGATATAAACAAGTTGTGTGTGTGTGTGTGTGTCTCTTGTCAGTATCTTTTATATATAGCACATATGCAATGTTGATTATTACAAAAAGTAATGCACAACTACTGTAAAAAGGAAAATTCTGCAAAACTATTCACAGTAAAAAGTTCAGTTAAAAAGTCCATTTCTCCGTTGGTGTGTGGGAGCCAGTTCCAACCAGCACCAAAGAACTTACTGGGTGCATCTCTTCCCACTCCTGCATTCAGTAACATCACCTTCATATCTTGAAATTGGCTATGATGGGAATATTTCTATTCTGAAAAAAAAAAACAAAAAACCCACAAATCAGGGCACACACCCCCGAGAGCCGGTTATTTGACATTGACCGGCACGCCACAGGTACTGTACACACACACAGGTGCTGAAAATCTCTCTGCCTTCTCCACTGTGAGTGATGTGTTGATACCATTTTTTGAATGACTCATTACCAGCTACCTGAATCAAGTGAAAATGTGCTGCACTAGTTCTTCAGTGTTACAAGTCGACGTTGATTTTTTTTTTAACATTTTTCATGGCACCTGAGTCATGCCACCTTGCTTTCAACCCCTCTCTCTGGGTATAGTAGTGACTGTAGAGCATATTCAAACTGGCTCACCTCTAAATTGAAGGGAGGTCTTAATTACTTTGTAGCAATAGGTATAGAGGGGAGAAGGCTATACTCCACTCACTCTCAATACACTAAAGCCAGAAATTGACACTTCACACCAACAGGAGAAAATCCTGTTTCCCCAAAGACAGATGTTTAATGCTTAATACTCTGAAGCCAATTGTATGTAGGACTAGAGGTTAGGTGCACCCAAGTTCAACGCAGAAAGTGCCAGTCCACTGAGGCTGAGGTCTGCAGCACCAAAGGCATGAATTCCTCAAATTTACATTGAAAGCAGAAGCTCATGCCAGTCAAACCCAGTTCACGCCGTTGAGCCTGAGCCATCTGGGCAGAGGCCATCACTAAGGATGTTGATTATATCAGTTCTCTACAATAAAACTAGCTTATAAATGGATCACATGGATTTTTTTCATGCTTAAGTAATTTTGGCTTACCATTTTGACTTTCAGGTAGAAGGAAGGCTACAGTTCTCTCGTTTAGACCCCATTAACTTTCAGTGTCGGCACAGCTGGGATCTACTGAGTGACCACTAGGCGAAAGGACCTTTTGCTTAATGACTCCTTGCAGAAAAACTGCAAAGCGCCTATTACTGTCTATAGATGAGGAACCTGAGTGAGCTCTGGGAAGTGACTTCCCCAAATTCCCCTAGTCAATACATGGCAGAACCACCACAAGTAGGCAGAACCCAAGCCTAGTTGAATCCAAAGCTGCATAACCTGCAATGCTTCTCTTTTCCCCCGATAAAGAAATGGACACAAAACATTAGCAAGCAGGAGGATTTGAATCTCTATAGGAGAACTACCCAATTACAAGTGGTCTTCATCATCCATCCAGTAACACATAACCTTGGCAGCCATCTTTCCCAGGTACTCTAAATCTTACTATTCTCATGGACCTTCTGAAAATTCATCTGAAATAGACCTGGGCAATCTGTAGTCATGTTTAGACAGCTGGGACCAGCTCTGGGGAGGCAGCATTTGATCCCCTAAATGCTTCTGGGTTATTTCCTGGATTACACGGCACAGGTAGGGACTGAATTTTTAAGCACCCCTCTTGGACCTCAACTCAGCATGCTGCTCCAAAGTGCTCTCTCTGACCATTGAGCTGATTTACAGAGCACATATTTGCAGAGTTGGCTAATAGCTTCTTTGTACCCCACCATGAAAGCACAGACCCCACTTTAATTCTGTTCCTTTCAAAGACTCTACTGTCTTTGAGTTAAGGCTTCATTTGTGGTCACCAGGCCTTTAGGGAGCTCTGTGTGAGTGGAAGAAACGTGATTAAAATCCCCTCTCAGACACAGCCCCCACACACTCTTGATGAAGATAATAAGGACTACCATTTACTGAGCCAAGACTTCTATGGAAGTTGGCACTGATGGATCCTCACAGCAACTTTATAAGAAGGGTATTATTATTCACTTTATTTAGCTAATAGAATCCCCCTCAGAAATTGTTATTTGCCTCAAATCACACAGGTTGTTTATGGAGGTGCTGGCATTTGACTTCAAAAACCCATGTCATCCCCCTGCATGCTGCCGCCTCTTCATAGGATGCTGGAATAGTGTGGGTCTGGGCTTTGCGGTCACACCTTCATATAATTCATGGTGATGTCCTTTTTATTCCCTTGCTTATTTAATCCTAATTTCATCCCATTAAATTCCAAATTAATGTCATCCAAGTTTGTGAATAGTCAGTTATCTGCTAAATGCATCCTAAGATGCTTCCAACTCATAGAATCTAGCTTTGGGGGTGCCACGGTCGTTGTTTTCACTCATTTAGCAAAAACAGTGTCTCCAGTTTCAATGAGTGATCATAATGAGTGTGCCATAAAAATGTAGGGGTTCTGAATATTGGATGGATTTAGATCATTGGCTTGTTCCAATGCATGCAGGTAGTCTTGAGAGGCAGTAGCTTTTGGAACGAAAGAATGTTGGTCAGGTCTGGGCAAGCATTTCCCAAGGTGTGGGGCTAAGACCATCCAAGCCGTGTATTGATTGCTCGCGCTCACTCAGAACACAGCTTTCCCACAGACTCCTGAGGAAGTGATGCTGGAGCAGTTCTAAAGGAAGAAAGTTCAGGGCTGCAGTGGCATCAGAACAACTGTGGACACTTGATCATTTCTTTCTGCATCCCACACATATTTATGGAACATGTCTCTGAGGGGTGTTGTGAGCACACAGTGAGCCAGGCACAGTGTACAAGTTCAAGATGACTAGAATTATTCTTGATTGGAATTTCTGCTTAGATCACTCCATTTCCTAAGTCATTGTGGCCTAAAGAAACGTCCAGACTGTCTATGTACAGAGGAGGGTAAATGTTGGTGTTGAGTCACTTCTCTGATCTCTAAAAATGCCCGTGGAGATGCAAGGCTGGGTACCCACTGCATAAATCTTTGGCCAGCTCCTCAGGCGTTGGCAGAGTTGGAGAGGCTGGCTTACCCACAAGCAGCAGATTTTTGCATGGCTGCTTCACTGAACAGCAATAAGCAGCAGCTCCGACTTCAAGTCTGTGCAGATAGCTTTGTTCTCCTGCCTGCTCAGCCCTCAAGGGTGGGGGCTCCCAGAATATTTACAGTATGTTCACACAAGTTTGCTATTTATTGGAAGAACTCAGTTCCTTGAGGTTATAGGTTTGAGAGCTCCACTTTCTTGCTGGCTGCTGGCTCCAGGCCACCGCCATTCTCTGGTAAGTGATCTTCTCTAAACATGGCCCTTTACGTCAGCCAGCAGGAGAAAGGCTCCCTCCAGTCTGCGAAGGCAGAGTCTTATATAATGTTACACAACTGTGGGAGTGACTTCCCAGAACAGGTCCTGCTCACACTCAAGGGGAGGACATTGCACAGGACAGTACGCCGTGGGGCAGGACTCCTGGGAGTCACCAGAGAATGCTGCAATGAATTTGTGGTCAAAGAAAGAATCCCTGCAGTGCCAGTCCACTGAAAGGCAGAGCTGGGGGCTGGTGGCAAGAAGGGGGCCACCTCACCCAGACCAGACATCACTTTAGCCTAAGGTGTTAACCCTTGAGTGTAACACTGGCAAGTGGGTAGGAGCAAAGGTCTTCCAGCTGAGGTGCCCCAGGACATGGAGAGGCGTGATGCATGAGCCCTGGGAAAGTTCAGGAAGAGCAATGGTCTGGAACCCATCAAGGGTGGCGGGAGCCCATGCCGGCTCCTAGTAGCAAAAGAACACAAGGTGACATCAGCAAGGACTGCCTATAGACCTTACACAGAAAAGGGCGTGCCTTTCCCGGCCATTCCCTGAGCCCCAGAAGGGTTTTATTGAAATCCAAGGGGGCAGGGAGATTTCCAGAAGTTCCTTCAGAATGTCCTGGCCCAGAGGTGGTATGTCCGGGTCTTCAGAGCTCCAGCCTTAAGGTCAGGCCCACCTGAGCCTCTGTCTCCTCCAGACCACTTAACAGCCTGGTAATGGTGAAGTCCGCCAGTGTCTATTCCTTGCATTCACTCGAATGTTAGACAGACAGACAGACTGATAGGTACAGAGATAGCTTGTGTAAATATAATCATGCCGATCTCGTCTGGTTTTGTGAAGATTAAGGAGCAGATGTGAGCATATACTGCACTCTGTAAACAGAAATCACCCATGCATACAAAGCACTGTTGGCGAGAGAATTCTCCATGCGCCCTTTTTCTGCTTCAGCCTTTCATTCTTCCCTGAATGGGAAAAGGGAGCGAGAGGTTAGTTATTGCAAACATCTGAAACAGATTCTTCCGGGCATTTGTGGGAGGAACTGGGAGCAAACAGCACCGCCCATGCTGGCTGCCCCCGCTTGTTGCACCACTGGATTCTCTACCAAGGGAGTACATCATGCTAGAGAAATCCGAGGCCTGCACAGCCCCCGAGCCCAAGACTCCTCTTCTTTACCCCTGACCACACTGGCAAGAAAGGAAATATAATCACCTCCCTGAGCTTCCAGCATCAACTACATTGAGGGTTTGGTTTTGGTCTGGAGGTTAATGGATGTTTTTCCTCTTCTTTGGTTATGTTTTTTGCATGATGTCTTGGTTTTAGTCATTTTTTTCTTCATACTTTTTATAAAAGAAACAAACTTCCCTGCACTCTCCTTCTGAGAGCCGCTTTCGAATTAGAGTTTGAGTGCAGGATGTGGGAAGAGGGGCTGCACGCCTTGGGTCAGACACAGCACGAGATCAGCTAAGGAGCAGGTGTAGGTGAACAAGAGATGACAGTCCGAGACACAAGCACAGAGCGCCTCTTCCCGCTGCTCTTCATTCTCTGTATGTGAAACGCTGCAAACCGTCATCAAGATAGGAGATAAAATCAAAGCAAAGCGATGAGACCATCAATTACAACACCTGGCGTTGGCACAACCAAGGGCATGTTTGTCACCCTCTCCCAGGCGAGACTGGGCTCCCCTGCCCAGCCAGGGTCCCTGCTCTGTCCCGTCACAGCACACTGCCCAGCACAAAGGGGTGCTGGGTGCAGACTCCCTGAGTCAGTGTCAGCTTAAACCCCATCACAGTGGCTGAGCACACCTTGAGCAACACCAGGCTTGGGCAATGCCAGGGATGGAACTTACAACCTACATGGAATAAAATTTTATTGATTTACCGTTGATTTACCATTGGCCATTCCCTGAGCCCCAGAAGGGTTTGATTGAAATCAAAGGGGGAGGGGAGATTTCCAGAAGTTCCTTCAGAATGTCCTGGGCCGGAAGGTGGTGTGTCCTGGTCTCCAGAGCTCCATCCTTAAGGTCAAGCCCACCTGAGCTGACTCCCACAAATCGCAGGAGTCAAGTTTCACCTGGAAAAGTGTCCATGGCTCATGGCACCCACCACCACGGTTCTAGTGCCATTTCCACCATCAAATTGGCCCCTCTACCTTTGGCTCTATCTTCCTTCTCCCCCT